GCGTGTTCCGTGGGGCAGCCGGCGCTGCCCCGGGGGTCCGCCCCCGCAGGACCCGCCACCCGCCGTGGCACCTCTGCCGTGGGTTTCCCTCACGGGGAAACAGCGCTTGCACGGGCGGATTTGCAGGTTCTGCCTTTCCGTTGCAGGACCTTCCGTGGCCAAACTCGAAGCTGCTAAGGCAACTGGCCCGGGCTAAGTTTTTATTTCGGCGGCTAACGCTGCTCGGTGACATTGCTTCTCGCTAGCCAGTCCCTCGGCTTTGGTGTTGCTGCCACGGTGCGTGAACTGCCTCACCCCCTTGTACAGCCTCCTAGGACAACGCTTGCATTTCGGGGGTGCTGGGTTTTGTGTTGGGTTGGGGTTTTTTTCAAGATTTATTAAGAACCCTGTCTTTTTGCAGACATGGAGAAATTTGGTTAAGATGTAACTGATGTTTGCCAGCAAATGAAAAATTTTTCACTGTGATGCTGGTGAGCTATGTTCTGCCTGTGTTGTATCCCTTGATGCCTTCCTCATGCTATAAAAGCACCCAGCGGGAGAAGGTTATGTCTATTTTTTTTTTTATGCCCATGTTCACACGAGCCTACTTGCTAAACACTTTCTGGCGATAAAGAACATTGTGTCAAAAAGCACTGACTCTGTTCCCGATTTCCAGATCCTACGATGAAGAATTTTCCCAATCCCAAGCTCTAGACAGTTGTTCCTGTTGAAAGCAACTCTGCTGGATTGATCATATGGAGAGGGCAGCCAGAACCAGCAGAGAGAGCATAGCACCTGTACGAAGCAGGGGATGTTCAGTTAGATTTAGTGTTCTTATCAAAAGTACCTGGAGACTGGATTCTGAGCCCACCTTTACTTGGACACATTCAGGGTGAGACCAGGGAGTGCAAAGAGCAGCTGTTACAAAGGCCAGCTTGATGGAAGGTTACAAACTTCCAATCCAAAACATTCTATGATTCTAATGAAGTAGTAGTACCTGCTTTTAAAAAGTGCTGACAAGAAATGTAATATTCACTTTCGATGAGTTGATTCAGAAAGCAGAAATATTTATAAAAGTAGTGCTGACACAAATTTGAAAGTTTAATTCAAAAGAATTCTGACCTGCCAATGATAATTCTGGACTAAAAATACTCACCAGTACCACCAACCAACATTTTTTTGCTAGGTACATTTGTTATGAAATACCTACAGTAGCTCTGATTGCAGTGATGAGGTATCTAGCGCAAAATAAAATAGGGAAAGCTTTTATCACTCCTGACTGTCCGCGTGTGAATCACACCACTCGCTCTGTCACCTCACAGAGCCTCCTGAGTGGGAGGCCCGTCCTGGAACACCGCCAGGAGTTTGAAGGCACTAGTTTTCCTTTTTTGTCAGAAGGGAAAGCCGAGGAGCAAGAGACTTATCTGGGATCACCCAGGCAGTCTGTGGTAAAGGCAGGAAAAGAAAACAGACCTTCTCATGAGGTCACTTGCCGTGGGCCACCCTGCTCAGGTCAGCGGGCGCCTCAGCAGGTCAGGCTGGGGTGGTTGATGCAGTCAGCGCCGCCAGCTGCCTGCGGTCCCCAGGGACTGCCAGGGATGCTGCAGGAGAGTGTTTGTACACTGGCATATTGAATTCAGCACTGTAAGCACAAGCCTTTGGCCAGCTTGTTCTTCAGCCATCCTTGCCATGGGAATGTCCTGGAGAGCTGGGATGGCAACTGTTTTAGTCACTCCAGCTTAATCCTCTGCTGAGCAATACCAACACCTACACTCAAGAGAGGTATATGAAGCAGCGGTGCCTATTTGGGTCACTCTAAAATGATTACCTGAAACTCTGTCCTTGATTAAGAACAATAATTAGAGAAACAAGAACAATGGAGTTCATAGAGCATCATTATATTTGCTACGTTATTCATATTCGCATTCTTTAGCCCTTCTAGCCTGCGAGATACCAAGTTTTCCTGAGATCCCCTGTCACACGGCATTTTGCTGTATGATTCCCAAGGTGAGAAATTCTCACGTATCAGGTCATGATCCACCCCTGAAAAGATGGTACAGAGTGAAACTGAGGACAGATATTATTCACACCATTCACAACCACGCCAGAAGATACATTCATCTTTGCCACAGTCAAGGCTCCAGCTCCACTTTTACTCCCTGTGACTTTGGGAAAACTCTTAAATTACACTTGCCTGACCTGGTTATAATGGGAATGCAAATGTTTTAATCCACTGTTACAATCAACCAGCGCCACAGTGTGTAAACCACAATTTCTATTAGAGTTTAAGCATTGCTGGTTTGCCAGTAGGAAATGCAGCTTTATTGGGACACTAGAGAAATTTTAGTCTCGCACCTGACATCCTCTCCTCTTCATTCACACTGGCCATCGTGGCCCATAGAATCATAGAATCATTTGGTGGGAAAAGCCCTTTGAGATCATCAAGTCCAACCGTACCTGTCCACTACTAAACCATGTCCCTAAGCACCTTTAAATACCTCCAGGGATGGTGACTTGACCACTTCCCTGGGCAGCCCGTTCCAATGCTTAACAACTCTTTTGGTGAAGAAATTTTTCCTAACATCCAATCCAAAGCTCCCTTGGCACAACTTGAGGTCATTTCCTCTTGCCCTGTTATTTGTTACTTGGGAGAAGAGACCAACACCCATCTCGCTACAGCCTCCATTCAGGCAGCTGTAGAGGGCGATAAGGTCTCCCCTCAGCCTTCTTTTTTTCCAGGCTAAACAACCCCAGTTCCCTCAGCCGCTCCTCATCAGACTTGTGCTCCAGATCCCTCACCAGCTTTGTTGCCCTTCTCTGGACATGCTCCAGTGCCTCAATGTCCTTCTTGTAGTGAGGGGCCCAAAACTGAACACAGTATTTGAGGCGTGGCCTCACCAGTGCCAAGTAGAGGGGCATGATTGCTACGCTGCTCCTGCTGGCCACACTGTTTCTGATACAAGCCAGGATGCTGTTGGCCTTCTTGGCCTCCTGGGCACAGTGCTGGCTCATATCTGGCCAGCTGTCACATGCTCCTGTATCCCACTGTGCAGCCCTGTGGCTTCCTCCTTCCTGCCACGGGTCGCATCTGCAGTTGGCCCAGGAGCCTCTGCTCAGCTCAAGTTTGGGCAAGGAGCCCATCTGCTAGCTGGCTGTAGCAGCCACCTCCCTGTTGCCTTGCTGTGGAAGACAAAGTCACATTTGCCGACCGTAAATGTTTACTCAGCTGCCAAAGGATCGCTTCTGCTTGTCCGTAGTGTGGACCGTTCATTCAGAGGACAAAGGGAAAAAATTCAAGAGTTCGTTTCAATATGACTTCTGCCTTCTCTTTGTTCTTTTTTCCATTCAAACACACTAAAGTTCAGACTTAAGTGCATAGTAAGTTTTTTTGTTGTTTGTTTGTTTGCTTTTTTTTAATCTCTGTAGTCAATGATTGTATAAGAGGAATAGGAATTTGGGAATGCCTTCTACAAAGATTTCAGTAGCATTGGAAATGGTGCCACAACAGTACAAGGCAGAAGAGTTGAGAAGAGTCTTCAGTCTTTCTTAATGTGGATAATTTTACATAAAAGTGTCACTTTTAGCAAAAAAAAACCAGAAGAAAAAACAGGCAGTTTTTAGAAGTGCTTGTGGATATCAGGACATCTTAGTTTCCCCTGGAGTGCAACATGAACCCATGCAACGTGAACATGAAGAAGAGCAAAGCACTTCTTAAACTCAAACCTGAAGGTGGAGCATATTTTAATGCATTTATGATTTCTCACTCCACCTTATCCCCAGCTGGTATTGCCAGTGTTGACCTTCTACGCTGCTAACCTCTACACAGTTTTAATCTCTGGTGTGTAGAAATAGAGAAAAGAAGTTGCGAGGTGATATGAAGGCTCCACCACCAAACTTTTTTTCAGTTACAAACAAAACACAGAGGCTCAATGTAACTTCCCATTGTGACAGATTTATACCTAGAATATGCATATGTATTCTATATTTATAGAATAACTCCTTGGCTTCCTTCCTCTGGGTATGAAAAGCAGTGCTCTGGCAGGAGGTGCAGAAGAAGAATCAGTAATGCTGAGAGATTATTGCAGCAAACTGAGCTGGGCTGCACTGAGTAAATGACTCACAAAATGCCAAACCTATGCTTCTTCAACACCAGTTTTTACCTGGCCCATGGCCAGGAAGCATTTGGTGGGTTAATATATTAAAGGGGACTACTAGCTGAAGAATGGGGTATTATTTCAATATACATTTTTTCAATGTACATTATTTCAATGTACATTTGTATGACCATGCAAAATCTTAACAAATTTATTGCAAAACCTAAGTTATTTTGACATTTGTTTAGAAAATGTGTGATTTAAGCATGTATATTTCTAAATGCATTGTAAAATACATATATATTTTTCCCCAAAAGGCAGTTATGAAGAAGAAATGTTCTTCTGTAATAGATGTATAAATGGCAGCACATAATCACTAGCACAGCTGCAGAGCCCTGATATACAACACCTTGTTTCCGGAGAGCAGCAACACAAAAAAATACAGCAGAAAAAAACACTAGAAAATAATTTTGGAAAGAAAAGAGAAGCTGTGAAAGAACTTTATCACTTGTAAGAGAGGCATCTGAAAAGGAAAGTTTCTGAGAGTTGTTTTTTCTATTAGTGGACTCCCTTCCTGACAAAGATTTTGCTTATTTTCACTCATTAGGAGACCCAGCCCACTGATGAATGTCAGTAAAGTCATAAACACAAGCAATACTCTGTTCTAATGTCTTTGTTCTGCTTTAAAAACCAATTCAAAAATAACAGTAGCATGCTGTGAGCCATACATATATGAAGCGAGTAAGTACATTTTTGGTGCCACTCTTACCGTTTTAGCCAGAAGAGGCAGTAATTCCCTGGAAATGCTCTACCTAGTACAAACATGCTTCTGTGTAGTCCTTGGCCATCTGTAGAATATGTTTTTGTCAATACTGCTGTTTTGCCAGTGAATCTGTATTTATTCCATAGTAGCATATTGCAGTGGAACAACCCCTCATTCACACCTGTAGAAATGAGAGGAAAAATCCTGGGGCAGGGCTCAGCGGAATACATTGCCTTCCTGGGCTGGTCCCAAAGGTCAGCACGATCTTCTCCATCACCTGTCAGCCCTGGTGGTCCCTTGCTAAGTAGTATTTCACAGCAATGCCTGCTGGGATGGGACTGTCCCTGGGTGTCCCCCATTCCCTGTGATTTATTAGGGAGCTGTTTATTTGGGCTGTAGTCATGGCTTTCTCCTGAGTGAAAGCTAATGGGCAGGTTTTGGAACATCCTCCCCATCTTGCCCTGAGCTCTCACAGGGGCTCTTTCGGACCAGGCTGACATAAAAATGGCCCATGGCTTCCAGAGTCTTATTTAACACATCTTACAGGAATCTCCCTCAGCTTTCAGCAAACCCCTTTTTTACTCCAGGTCATCCTGATCCCAAAGCAGAGCTCCTGGCTCCTCTTGTCCATATATTTTCCTGAGATCTGGAATGCAAAATGAAAAATTAATGGGATGGCAATTATTAATCCTGTCGCTAGACTGGACACTGTTCATGTTACTCTTTCATGAAGCACTGCCCCTAGTTTTGGGTCTTAGCTGTGTTTTATACCCCAGTTTGTCATCTCTGGATGCAGGTGAGGCCCCATGACAGGACTGCTTTGCCCACTGAGGGGTGCAGTTTCCCAAAATGGGTGAACAGACATAACAGCTCTGAATTTGTGTGTGTGTGGTGTCCTGCTCACCCCTGTCCTTTCCTCCTTTGCCTGACTCCCAGCCATGCACTGGCATCACTGGCCCCCACTGCTGCATGTTGGACTGCTAACATGATGCTGGAACTCACTAAAACATATCCAGAAAAAAAAAAAAAGTAAAAAAAAGTTATCTTCTGCAGTTTTGGTGAGTTAAATTGGTTTAGTAAGAGTTCCGGTGAGCACCAGGGCCAGCATCCATGCTCCTGTGGGAGGGAGGAGCAGGGGAACAAGATATCTTTCTTCTGGCAGGGGAGAACTTGGTGCTTGAGCTTGCACAGCAAACTAAATCCTGTGCCCCTCAGTGCTGTGTTTGTGCTAAACTGTGTGCGTGTAAGCAGACTACTGGAGTGGAGCTGCTGACATTTCAAATTGAAACCCCTGATCGGGTTTATGTCTGCTTGGCTTAAGTATTGCATCTCTACAGCTGTCAGATCGTGCCCTCCATTGAGGTATGTGGGAAGATGAGCTTGTGCTGAGGAAGTGAAAAGCCTGAAAACATGACACATTCTGCAAGCCCCTTTCTGGTCTCGCTACAACATTGCAGCACTTTGCAGTTGATTTCATTAAAGACTTGGGCTTTGCAAGAAGAGGTAAGGCCAGGTTGGACGGGGCTCTGAGCAACCTGATCCAGTTAAAGGTGTCCCTGCTCACTGCAGGGGGTTGGGCTAGATGGCCTCTACAGGTCCCTTCCAACCCAAAGCATTCTATGATTCTAAGAAATCACAAAATTTTAAATTGCATCTCTTGCAACTTAGTGACCTCTAGCTTGATGAAATTAGATCCTGTTTTTATCACACACATGAAATTGCTTCGAGGTTTCTTACTAACAGAACAATCCCCCCATATTTCCCTTGTCAGTCACACGAAATGATCACCATCACTATGTTTGATAGGCAGCTTTCAGTGATGCACAAAATACTGCCAGTGAAATTGCCTGGTTAATAACAACATAATGGAAAAACTTACTTTTGTTTGGTTTACAAGTCATAAAAATTGCAATTATTTACAATAAAAATGCTAAACTAAATGATATGTATTTTTCCTTCAAAATTAAAAAGATGTTTTCATGCAATTTTAGTATACTGATATGCCATTTTAGCTTAATCAGAAATAATCTTACAGTCAAATTGTTGCAACCTTTGTGGTTATGAATGTAAGAGTTGAATGTTGCTCTCAGTAATCACAGGATAGCTTCCATTTTAGGTTATTCATACAGTTCCTATGAGTAAGGTTAAGTGAGTTTGAGCCCTGATGTATAGATCACATTAGCTACCAGGGAAAGGCACGGTTCTTTTATAACTCATCATCATCATCAGCTGTCATCATCATCATTATCAGTGACAACCTTTACTAAACTTGGACCGAGCTACTATAGAGAAGCATTTTCAGAATCTCTGCAGAAAGATATCTCTGGCCTTCAAGAACCTAAGATTTCCTAGGGTTCAAATTTCAACCATATTTTTTGAAAATGCCCATTAAGTGATTTTTAAAGGCACAAGTGAAACACATGCTTTCCTCTTATTGAAAGCTAGTGGCAAGTTAGTATCTGTTTCCTACTTACAGAGGCAAATCAATCGCTTTGGCAGAGGCTTGCAAAGACCCTTCTGGCTGCTCTTGCC